ATTTACGACTTTCATCATCATACCCTGGTTTGGGCCTGGACCATGATCAGATCTTGCTGGAATACAACCCCCTTCTCCTGTTTTCCCCATTTCTCCATGTTCTCCCATGACCTACTATCAATACACTGGCCAGTCTCTTTTTAAATCGGAACATTCTGAATCTTGTTCTCTTTCTCTCCCCATCCCTTTTCCAGATATGATAGACTCCTAATTGTTCTTTAAATGTGCAAGACAGAATGACACACTAATAGCCTTCCACTAGTTCTCAGTTTTGCTCTGTCCCCAGATATCTACCTCATTTCCTTCATTTCTTTCCTCCAAAAAGGACTACCCTGACCACATTACTTAAAATTACATTCACCCTCCACATAGGCATTCTCTTTCCTCCATACTCTGTTATTCTTACCCTTATTACACCTTTTCAATTTAGTTGTTTATTGTGTTTTTTGTTTATAATCTGTCTTTACACACTAGGCTATAAGCTTCAGGAAGACAGGGATTTTTTTTTCCTCTTTTGTTCAGTGATTTATCTCTTAGGCCTAGAGTAATAATTAGTACAGAGTAAGCACCCAATAAATATTTGTTAAATGAATAAATAAATTAGTTAGAAATGTATGAGCCAGAAAGAAGAGGATTCTGGAATATAACCCCCTTTAAAAAGCCTGAACACCTTGACAGTGATATTAGTCATTTTTACACACATTAATTAGGGAAAAATAAGTCCCTGTGTTAAACAAACAACCAAATAACTCCTAAATTTGTGGGAAATATCCTGAGCAAATTCAGTGTCACCTCAAGTAAAGATGGTTAAGAGGTTAAAATAATCCTGAAAATCAAGAACAAAATGCTTAAGAAGTGCTGAATTACACCACAGCATCTATAAACATTCCAAGTTTCTGAATAATAAAAATTGGGGTAAATGAAAGAGTGGGTTAAAGTCTCATGACTATGGAAATGAGAAGTCTATATTCATTTCAGAAGATATATGCAAATAATAGTCAAAGTGCTGCAGGAATACAAGGCTGCACAACTCTGAAGTATCCAGGAGCCAATCAATTTGTTTTTGATTCTCTGGGTCCCCTGTTCCTCTTTCTCATGTTTACTGCCAAGTATTTGACCACCTTGCTGTTTGTCAGTAACTCTCACAAGACAGCAACCTGGAGAAACAAAGGGAAACTTAGACAGCTAAAGCTACTCCTTGGTAGCAGCCCAAAAGGACTATTTGGGGATTTTAGTCCAGAGAGTAATAAAAATATATGTATATTAAAAGCATTCACTAAAATGGGTACCATGCATGCTTTTGGAAATCAGTTGCTCAGCGTGGCTTGGCCCAATTCAATTAAGGTGAATTGTCTGTTTAAAATACTGTCAACTGACAGAATAAAAAGAACTCTTGATGTATTTGAATGTGCATAGGAAGAAAGGAAGAAAGAAGAGTGAAGAGATCCATGCTTCTGCAACAGGATTATCTACAGGAGTAAATTTAACATAATGGAACCTTTTCTAACATGGGCAAGAATTATAAGAATATACCTCTACCTTTAATAGCAGTAGAAACTGGGTAGAAATAACTGCTTCTCAGAACCTATTTACTTATTGGTAAAATGCATACTAATATACTTTTCTCACAAAGTTGTTGTAATGCTTAAATGGACAAATTATGCAAAACACCTAGGATATAAAGGCAAATATCTTCCCCTTCCAAATTTGAGTTTCTATAATACTATCCGCCTGTTTGTGCAAGTGTTGATAGTCATCTTATTCTAAAAATTCATTCTATTTTTCAATTTTGCAAGGATAAAACCCTGAAGAAATATCGAGAGGGTAATTAACATATGGCTAAAACTATCATGGGAAATATAAAAAGATAGATTAAAATGTGCAACTGGGACCTGTTTTAGAATGAGAAGCAATCTATGGATAAAACTGTTTCTTTTCTTCAAATGCACAGGAAAATATTATAAAAACTATTTAAAAATTATAGTATGGTATCTTGAATGAAGGAGAATATTTTCTTCCTTTTGTATAAATCAGAGTGCAGAACATGCATGGCTCTTTGTAAAATTACTTGAATGTAAGTTCCATGGGAAGAGGATTCTTTTTGTTTGTCTCATTCATTGCTGACTCTCCTGAATACTACAAGGGTTATAATTGGCAATTAGGAAGTAGTTCTGAATGAATTCAGATGCACACACTATAGTGTACTTGGCACAGGAATAGGGGTCCATCTGCCTCTTGCAAATGACTGTACATACTTTACAAAAAGAAAGGTAAATAATAACAAGCCAGAATTACTGGCCTCAAGAAAAAGGACAACACAACTACTCTCACAGTTCCTGAACCACCATTTATAAACATCTGGAATTCTGCTGAGGAACTAATAATCCATATATGGTATTTATTAGCATATGCATAAATGGATATGAAATGACTAATAATTTCTTGAAACAGGAAAATAATTATTTCTGGAAATGACCAAAATAGACACTCCATAGTAGAGAAGAAAGAATAAAGATTTGGGCAGAAAAACTTTCTGCTACTCTAAAGCCAACTCTGAAGTTGGTTATTATGTATTTTAAAAATGCTATTTGTATGGAAAAAACATATTTAAATTCTTTGCTTTTCATATTTGGATAATATACAAAGAGCAAATAAGTGACCAGAACCTATTTAAAGTAAAAGGATATATTAAATTCTAAGCAAAATAATTTTAAAAAAATGTTCAAGTAATAATATATAAAAACACAATAGTTTTGGACTGTAAACCATAAAGAGTCAAACAGGCATCTATAGATATTGTCCCCAGTCCAATTATAAATTGGTTCAAAGTCTGCCAAGATAAGTAATATAGCCTACACACCTCTTTGCCAACTGTCTTATAAAGCAGATGGAACCAAAAATCCAAAGAACAGTGAAAAATGAAGTTTTAAGAAATCCTTTTCTCTCTGAAGTTGTATGAGAGGAAAGGTCACTTTCTAACTTACTAGCTTAACTTTTGATGCCCTTATCTTTTTCTTGATCATACATATTTTTGTGTATTATGCTCTATTTATGCATTCTTCAATTGCATCTTTATTTATGACTTTGTGAATCAACATCTTTGTGATAGGAGGTGAAAGTCACTTAGCTAATTACACATGCCTGATAAGCTGCATAATAATAACTACTGCAGTATTGTACATTAATCGGAGGCATGTAAATTACTGCAGTTATTTTCATTGGGGGAAAAACAAAAGACTTATTTTTAGTTGTTTAAAACACCCCTGTTGCCTTCATTTCCACCTTCATAAGTGTACTGTGCTTTTAACCCAAATTATAGCATCATTTTTAAAAAATGGAAGTTAAATTCCATTCTACCAGTATTACCAAAGAAACAAGAGCAAGAACAAAACAAATGTTGATTTAAGGCAAATACTTCTGATCCCAGTTGAGAATTTTGTCATTTGAAGTGTCTTTCACATAATGCAATCCCAGTAAAACAGAACAGTTTAGACCCTCCCTGCCCCACAAGGATACAGTAATGAAATCTGACTTGGTCCAGCCCGGAGTTTAGAAGTGCATAGAGGGAGAGAGAGAATATGCAGCACTAGAATATTAATATGACTTCTGTATGAAGATTGGAAATTCTACAAAGTTATGAATAAGGTCAAAATAACACTTAGGTGATTTACTGTCATAGAAAATCTTCCTCTCCTATGAGTGATTTACGGAATGTTATATAAAAACAGAGTGTGGACCAGCTACATTCAGATGCAAGCTTGCAGCTGTCAGAGTCTACATTTGCTCAATCTGGCTAGAGGATGATTTGAAGGTTGATTTGATTGTAGCTTCTGAATCATGTTCTTCTCTATGTTTTAAATTGTTTAACATAAATATAAAAATGTTAAAGTAATTTGAAGACAGTCAATATTAAATATAAAAATCCCGTTCCCTTTTGGAATTTTAACTGCAAATGAAAAGGCTCTTGGAAAAAATATTACTTAATAATGCCAATTGCCCACAATTATGGTCAATTTACCCTGATGAGGAGAAAGTTCATAGGATGTTAGAAAGGAGCTAAGAATAAACAAATAAATAAATAAAACTCTGTACTGAACTGATGCATTTGAGGAGGAACACAGATCTGAATCTCTTTAGAAAGAATTCAGAGGTCAAAACTGATCAGGTAGTGGGGAGCACTGGGTGTGTTCCTTGCAGGCAACACAATACCCTGAGTATCTCCTTCCCCATAAGCAAACTCAAAACAGAGATTGAATTCTTGCCGATGCTACCAGCAATACAACATAAGGCATCATCAATGAGCTATGCCAATGTTATTTACTCAGCTGGAGCTCTCCTCAACCATCTTCCTATTCCCTGCCGCACTTCATCAAATTCCAAATATCACCTAATCATTCACTTCCCAGCATCAGCAGATCATCCTTACAGAAGAGAGTGTCTCGTTCTTCTTTGGTAAGCTTTTTACCCATTTTTTAATTTTCACTTTTATACATACCTCCTTTTCTACATATTTTCTTGCCGGGTTTTCTGGCACATTCCTTGGATATTCTTTTTACTGAAAAATGAATAGAAGACTAGAAAATAACATGGCGCTCCATCACAGACCGCCGGAACATGCAACACCACTATCTATCTTAATACGCTCCTGCATTTACTGAGTGCGAAAGATCCCCAATTTGTTGAGCCTGCACATGCAATGAGGAAATGTTGATGCATCTTCTCAGAAGTCATTTGGTAGGAAATGGAAATTAGGAGCCCATTTCTACCTAAATATACGTGCTGTGGAGGTAAGAAAATGAGTGGGCACAGGAAAAAAAAATAACAGATATACTGACACACATAAACAGAAAGAGCGGCATGCAAGCATGTAAAATATGTCTACATGCCGACAGGAAAAGCCATGCATACTACCAGTACACATCAAGTAATATTGTTAGAATAGAAAAAAATATATATATCTACATATATAAATCTCCCTGTTTTTTCCTGCAAAAACTCACCATCCTCAGTTGGGACATATATGTTTAAATAAAGGCAGTCTTCACTCTGGTCTTGTACATACGAAGAAACCACATCCAAGTTATTGGTAAACCACACAGGAAGCATGACTTCTGGCAACCTGCCATCAATGATATTCTGGGGACACACAGGAGCAAACTGAGTGGCATTCCTGACATCTGACCAGGGAGATGGTGGTTCTGGAGGCTGAAAACGATGTTCTCCTGTTGGTGGAGCTGCATACGGAACTCCAAGAAACTGAATAACAGGCCCCAAAATTTCATTATTGAGTTCTTTCTTAATCCCTCTTATCTTGCCAAAGTTGGTTGTCACCAGTGGGTCCACATCATCCAATTTTTGTGAGAGCACATGGGCAGCCTGAATTAAACATCCCAACAAACAGAGAGTCAACGAGGCGCCCAATCCCCTGTGTACCAAGCATGCCATCACTGCTCTCCAAACGTAATCTGGCCACATGCATCTGGGCCGTGCCATGATCCCACATTAGTTGTCTAGCTGTCTGGTTACAGTGAGGCAAATGTATTTATATCCACTGGAGACGGACTGTATAATGGTATTATATGCCTCCAATTCCTCAACAGTGAGCTGGTCGGGAAAAGTTCAGAACACTCTTCATGCAGCAAGTATCTCCCATTGATTTCACATGTATTGAGGCAGCATCTTCAATCATCTCTATTTATCAGACCATATCCTATTGACCATTCTGTTTTCCATAGTAGCAACTTGGTGAGGGTGGCCATTGACTGTAGATTTCCCTCTTATAAATCAAATCCAGTTAGCTGCAGGTCTATATCCTAGAGAAAATGAGAATAAATCATTAGTATGAACAAGCTGAAATAGACAGAGTGATAACTAGATGTTGTATAAGCTATAGAAATACATTAATAGTGGCTAGAGTCAGGTAAGTTAAATACTACCACGGGAAAATTATGGTTTGATGTGAGATGACAAGTGAAATAACTGATTATTAGATTATTGAGAGCTTGCCTGCTGACTTTATACACACCGAAATGGAAGCAGGCCTTGTCAAAATATATGGTTTCAGAAGCATTTCACAGTGAAGTATTTTTAAAATACTGAAGGTTAGGTGTGAAATTTCCCCTTTATTGATAATACAATCACTTCAAGTGACTACAAAATTAATCAACAAACATGTTCAAAATTAGAATCCAATAGCAAAAAAAAAAAAAAAAAAAAAAAAAAAAAATTTAAAAGTTGGTAGCATATAAATGGAACATAAACTCCCTAAGAATGATTGTACATATTGAAATACAAGCAAAACAAACTAAATGTGCTTCCCAATCACCATGCTTAGAGGAAAAAAAACAAAAAAACAAAGGTGATGTCCAAACAGGAAAACAAACGTGAGTTCAGCTATGATTTTAAGGACAGCTACCTCCTAAGGTCAAGTTCATTGCTCTCTTTCAGAAGTCTGCATAAAATATTGATCATTGAGCCTCTACTGTTTATACAGACTCAAGAATTCAGAAGAGAATATGTCACTGGACACAATTCAAAGAAGGAAGAAAAAGTTATCATCATTTCTTTTGGCAGACCAAAGTTTCGCCAGCTATCTATATATATTAGGTAACAATAAATTTGCAATGTGTAAATGAATTTCTGAGTCAAAGTCAATATGTTTTAAATTACAAATTTTGTTCTTACCATTTGCTAGAGATCAAAGGAAGAATATTTTAAAAAGTTTCGTAATTCAAAAGAACAATCATGCTTAATCATGGCATCTTGCATATTAACACTAATCAAACACCTAACACTGTTTACCCAGTTCAACTTAAAATGCATCAGAATAAGCTGTGACATTCCGTGAATGCAATTCACAGGATATCATGCAGCTCAGAAAATTTGTCTTTTCTTGTTCAAGCAACCCCTTAGAGTGCTTACTTTGAAAATAACAGTGTTGATTCGTATTAGAGGTGGTTCCATCCTGTCATATTATGGGAAGATTCCTGAAGAACTGCTGGTTTAGCAATGAGACTACCCTGACTTTGTGTTATTTAAAAGAAGATTGTAATAACTATATAGGGCATCAGGAGATTTGGTTCTGTCCTGGTGTTCCTTTAGCTTTGAACAATCCATCACAGAAGGCATAAGAAGATAAATGTCTTTCTTCGAGTATACTTCAGTCTGTGTCAATTCTCATACTTTGGCTGTGAAAGCACATTACCATACAAAGACAGGCTTAGACCCATCCTTCTTATATCACAGAACAATGGCATTCATGGAAGAGTTAGCTACATAAACCTATTTCCATAAGGAGTATACTATGCTTACTCTTGTTCAGGATTGTGGGGGGCCACAGCACAACTGAGTCTTTCCTATTTACCTTTTGGTGTTTAAGAATAACCATCTTAACAAATAAGACAGAGAACCTGCAGTGAAGCCTTGAAAGTCTCCATCAACCATCTTTTATTTAGCCTAATTTCCAAGTACAGTGATTTCCAAAAGTTCTTGACATAATTGGCATCTCATTAAAAATAAATACTCATAGTTATTGACAAAGTAACACACCATTTCCAATACTCACAAATCCTGAACTGTGTTAAAAAGAAAGAAGCTCTTGTTTCTCACTGGTATAAGATCTTAACACAAATACAGGCAATTCTTATATTACCAGTAGATTGGCCTATCAAGCCACATGGCATGGATTGGCATGGAATGGTGAGTTTTCAAATTGTTGACTCTGGCTTCAGAGGTTACCAAAATATCCTATTTTACATGCATATATATAGAGAGAACTATAGTATTTGCCCCAAAAGTTTTTCTAGAAATCATTATTTGATTCTAAAGTATTTAAAATTGAATTACAAAAATGGTTATTTATGTATATTCAAAATATAGAGGTTAGTAAATATTCTGATAATATTATAGAAACAGGAAATGTTAAATGATCTACCCTATTCTTCCAAGTCTAATGCAAAAATATACCCTGCTCTGCCTGGCACAGTAGTGCGTGCCTGTAATACCCAAGGATTCAGGAGGCTGAAGCAGGAGGATCACAAGTTCAAGGCCAACCTGAGCAACTTATTAATTTGCCTCAAAATAAAAAATAAAATGGACTGGAATGTAGCTCAATAATATACATACCTGGGTTCAATTACCAGTACCGGGAAGAAAAAGAAAAGGCCTCTTTAAATTACTGAAATATTAAAACATTACATGCCTACATATAAAGACTCTCCAGTTTGCTAACAGTTTCTATTTTTTTCCTATTTATTGGTGTTTCCTAAGTATATTCCACATTATCAGCTTTCATGGATTCACATTTAGTTTACAACAATCCTATGAAATGGGTTCAACTGTTATCCCCTTTTTACTCATGAGGAACTGAGACTCAAATGTTAAATGCCAAGGTCTCTCAACCAGTCAAGAACAGATCCAGGAGCCAATTACCATCTGATTTAATAGCCATTCTCTTGATCATTTCATGATTTGGTCTCTCAATTTACAATTATCACTTTTAAAAAATTTGATTCCAGATCCTAACCTATTTAAAAATGATTACAAATAATGATTATTTATGAATATTCAGAATATAGAGTTCATATAATATAATAATATAATATTATCAGGTAATATTATAGAAACATGGAATTTTAGATGTTCTACCTTATTCTTAATGGGAGTATCCATTTGATTGTGCTAATTTTTAACCTTATTTTACTCTAGATCTAATACAATCATGTATGTGATTATACAAGATCATGTTAAAAACAATCTATATAATAATTTGGCTGCTTTTAGTATTTTAAAAAACCCTCAAGACCCAAATTCATGACAACCTAAATATCATTAATATATACTTTTAAATGAAATATGAAATATTTGCAAATTGGAATTCTATTGTCCCTGAAAATAAAGGATTGAGTCCTAAAATATCAGCATAGATAAATTTCAAAATTCTAGAACAAAATGAATGTAAGATTAGATTTAGTAAAATATTATTTAAATAAAGCTTAAGGTGTACAAAATAATACTATTTATTATTCACAGATACATAAATACATAATAATAAGAGAGTTACCATCCCCAGGTAAGTGAGAAAAAGAATGATATTAATTCTTGCAATTAATTAGTTAATTGACATATAAGATGAATAGCCCGTGATGAGGCTTTGAAAGGCCTACAATGAGCTACAGAAATTTTACAAAATCTTAGTTTTTGATAGTGTTGGTGATACACACACACACATGTATTGTAATTATTATTTTTTCTATATTTTAAATATTTTTAAATACATTAAAACAATGGGATCAGAAAACTGTGGCTCACCCAGCCAGGCAATTCTCATATTACCAGTAGATTGGCCTATCAAGCCACATAGGACCAGCCTCCCCTGACTTCACAGTGAGCAGAGATACTAGCTCATATGTTCTTCATTATTTCTGCCCTTGAGGTAAAGAATGCATGGTCCTATTAAGATGATAAAATAAATAATAAATAATATTTGAAAGATCATCATAAATGGCAAGGTACTGACTGACTTGCATTAGCTCATTAAAATAGCTAATCCCTCAATTAGTTTGTTCCTTGGTGACCCAGATAAAAAGTAGAGAGAACCATCTAGAACATTAGATAATTGCAGCGAGTAACCACATTCATCCAATCTTTCATTCATTCAATAAAGTATTTATTAGGAGTTTACAATATGCAAGTTTTTGTGCTAAATGTACGGAGAATTTAAAGACCAATACAATTTCTTCATTGCTCCCAGGTAGCTTGTGATATTATAAAGGAATAAGTCCCATAAAATAATGGCCCTAATGCAAGATGGAAAGTGACATGTGTTCAATAAATACATGATGAAGGGGGGAAAGCAAGACCCAGCAGGAAGTCTCTAACTTATAACTTTCTATAGACTCATGTCTTTTTAAAAAATATTATCTACTTATTCTCTACTTTATTTTCAATATTTTTTTTATCTGTTTGATTTTTGAATCCAACCTTTCCTTACTGAATTTTCAAGGATTTTGCACGTCTGTGTTTTTATATATTTATATTTATTGTAAAATCTATGGAAAATGCTATATATAGCATAAGCATGGTTAAATCTCAATTGGTCCGGATTGAACAAGGTTCAACACCAGAGACACCTAAACTTGATGGTGACTCTCAGCCAGTTCTTTGCAATATATAGTTGATCCTTTTTACTCATAGTGGACATGTTTAAAAAAGTCATCATGAACAATGAATTAGGGAATTATTGCTCCTTGGGAAAGCTACATATATATGTGTCTGTGTATGTGTTTATACTAACATATGTATGTACGTATCTCACCCAGATTTTAGGTTATAACCTTAAATGTTTAAATCAACTCATCCCAATAGACTTCATCTTCTTTATTTTATAAAAGAAAAACTAAGGTTCAGAAGTGCTAAGTGCCTGAGGCCCCCATACTATCAGGTGTGAGAGTTGGCATTCAAATCCCCTCCAATTGGACCCAGAACATAGCTCCTTGCCCTGCACTGTGCTGCCCCTCTACCATTCCCTCCTCCATTCATGGACCTGAAGGAAGCATGCATAGCATGGCCTTGTTTGACCTCACTGGAAATGGGCTCATAGGGCAAGTCAAAGATTTTGCTGCTTTGTCATTTCTGTGGAATGACAGAGAAAATGGTGTGAGTTTTGATTTTAGTTTTCCAAATAAATTTTATTTCATAGGCAAATTTGCAAATACAGAAATCAGAAATAATGAGGATCAACTATAATAACTAAAGAAAAATAATGTTTTATACCTAAGGGTCTATGAGTTCTTTTGAGGTCAGATGACACTAG